TCCACGACCTTGTCCGCCTCCTCCTCGCCATGAGCAAGGCCTGTCGACCCAAGCCAACTTTTCTGGCTGAGCAGAACATCAAGAACGCAAGGTGCCCTCACATGCCAAACAGTCGATACCAACCCGAGATCTCAGGCCAGGGCCTATGCTCACGGCGACCAAGGCCAACCGCCAGAGCCACTGCATGCTGTGGCGCGTGGCTCCCTGCGGGGCGTCAGGTGCTTGGGGTTCCGTTGAATCCAGCAGATTCGAGAATGCGTCTGAAATTTGGGCAGACTGAAGGAAGGCTCTTCTTCGCAATCCCTCCGCAAACAAGAGTACGAAAGCTTGACAACGCCTCACTCTTTTGAACTTGTTGGGGTTCCCACCTCTTCCCCGGAGACTCGGCAGCGCAAGCAGGGTCAGGGCAGGGCAGACAAAATCTGAAAGCCAAATTCAGCCGGGGCAATGGTTTGGGCGCAGCATCATCTGAAGATGAGATGTCGCCACAGCGACATCGCATGGACATCTCAACATGGGGCTTGCTGAAACTACTGGCCCCGCAGGAGCCCACCATGTATGCTAATTGTTATGCAATCCTTGCGTGCTATTTTGCCTCCCTGAAGAACCGCACACGCTCCAAACTCCAGACATCCTGAAGAAACCTGCGTTTCTTTTCTAGCTCGGTCAGCTCGCGTCTCGCTTGGCGGCGCCCGGGCCCGGGACAAGCTCGCCAGAAGGAAACGCCTTCCTGGGCTGCGTGCTGAAAGCCACAGCACGAGACAACAGCACAGGAATGCCGAAGCCCCGTGTGGAAGTGTGGGAGTCGTCAGCTTCTCCTCTGCGGTCCTGGGCGCAGCTCCCCACAGTCCAGCCGCAGCAGAATGAGCCCATCCTCCTGACTGGGCCGAGCTTAGAGCTCGTCGCAAGATGCCGGGACACTTGGCGCAGCCTCATATCTTCAAGTACGGCTTACAACAGAGCCCGCACCCCCTTCAGACATACTGGAATACATCACACGTCCCGAAATGGATTCTGGCGGACTCTCGACCGAATCTTTTTGGCCACGACTCCTGGATGCCCTCGAAGATGCCTCAGCAAGCAAAGTGAGCAAGTTTTTTTAAAGCATATCCCATGAACAATCCTTTGCCCCAATAGAGCTGTTAATCCTTCCTTCCTACAAGGCTGGCGTCAATCTCCAAAAGTCTCAATGTGTCACCCAGTTCGAGCGCAGTCTGGAACATGACTCCCAGCTTTGGCGTCAGCGCACCCAAGCAAGTATGACCTTGTCGTGAGATCAAACGACCAAGGCACAACGGACCGGCTCTTCTGACTCGTGGACTCGAAACCAAACCTGGCAAGAAGTTCGGAGTGGCAGATCAGGCCGATACTCTGGAGGCCGAAGACTATGATGACTAGCTCACGTCAGGAGTGATCCTAAAGCCGCGCCTTCAACTGAAACCGTGATGCTGAACCTTGTCCTGACTCCTTTGCCAGCCACGCCTCACTGCCTAGTAGGACCTCGAAGCCGTTCACTCGATCTCGCAGACTGGCAAAGCCACCGAGAAAGAACCTGATCGCGCTTTGTGACTTCATGGGCTCACGGGGTCATGACAGTCCGTTAGTCTCAAGGATCCAAGTCGAAGCGCTCTTGGAGCTCCAGGGCGAATGCGCCAAGCAAACGCCGCCGAATCTTTGCAACGTCGAAGTCATGGCCACAGATCGCCCGCAGCGACGTTGCCGGCCACACAGGTCGGGCAATACTGGGCTGCAAAGGGGGGAAAGAGTGGATGAGCGGCTAGGAGTCTGGATGGCGAGACAGCCTTTGCTTGCACTTTAGACTAACGAGCTTCCAACGTGACTGTGACTGCGGTCGGTGGAGCAAGCTGTTATTGTTGACATCGACAGGTAGCAGAGTTCCCAGAAGCCCATCTCATGTCCGAATGCCGTTGTCCTTAAGCCCGGTTGCGCATCCAAGTCTGCTCGCGAGGTGTTGACCTAGGAACATCGAAAGGTTCCTCCTTGAAGTTAGAACAGTCTACACGGCTTGACACGAAAAGCGAGTCGGAATGTGCAAATTGAGTTTGCGGCTCTAAGTGCATCCAATCAGCGCAACACAGAAGAGACGATTGCCGATCCGTGCAGGCGTGCAAACAAAAGTCAAGGATCCGAGGACGTGCTGGCGTCTGAATACACGTAACACTTCACCCTGAATCCCAAGCGAGCGACAACTTTTCCCGGTCCTCGCTTGACGAAATGCCGAAACTTGCGGGATCATCTGTTCATCTCTCGCCCAAGTCAAAAACAGACCTCTAATTGCTTTATCCTCACCAAACCCGCCTATTTACTCCAGCAGTCCTCCCAAGATGACGACCCAACACATCCATATACTGCTGACAACCGGGGGCGTTGATACCAATGCCCACGATGATGCCGTCCAGACGTCCTCGGAGAGGTACAGCTCGAGCGAGGATGCCACCAATCTTGCCACCTACCGAGATGTGGTTCACGATGTGGATGAAAAGCGGATATCATCATCACAACGATGATGATGATGATGCTGATGATGATGATGATGGTGGTGATGATGATGATGGTGATGGTGATGAAGATGATGAAGACCCTACTCCTACTCCGACCCCGACTGCTATTCCTACTCCTCCTCTTCCTCCTGCTGCTGCTGCCGTGGCTGCGGCGGCTGCTGCTGCTGCTCCTCCTCCTCCTCCCCCTCCTCCTCCTCCTCCTCCTCCTCCTCAGCCGCCTCTTCCCACTACAACTGCTGCTGCTTCTGCTACCGCTACTAGTGCTACTGATGCTGCTACTGCTGCTGCTGCTGCTGCTGCTGCTGCTGCTACCACTGCTACTACTACTACTGCTACTACTACTACTACTACTACGACGACGACGACGACTACTAGCACAACTACGACTACGACTCCGACTCCGACTACGACTACGACCACGACCACGACCACGACTACGACTACTACTACTACTACCACCTACTACTACTACCCACTACTACTACTACCTACTACTACTACTACTACTACCACCACCACGACGACGACGACGACTACTACTACTACCTACTACTACCTACTACTACCTACTACTACCTACTCCTACTACTACTACTACTACTCCTTTTGATGCTGCTGCGACGACTACAACTGCTATCATCGGGGTGTAGTTGTGCTCGTTG